TCATGAACAAGAATTCTATAAAGGGGACTTAAAACAAAGAAGACAGTTCAATTTATCTCAGGCTCCACTTCAGGGAAAAAATCAACAGAAGCCACAAAAAAATAAATGGTGGTTCAGTTGGCCAGTTTGCTTGTTGAAATTGGATAAGATTAGCCTCCGTCACTGCGTTTGATTTCTATGCAACTTTAGTACAAAACCAACAGGATTTTAAAATTTGATACGAAGAAGCCTCTAGTATTCTTAAAGAGTGCCCTTTTAAGCGCTTGATTATCAAACCACCATTTTCACGGTATAAATACAGTGTTTTTACATTAAACCTTATCTGTCGTCGTCCTCTCCTTAACCATTGTAGGAAGCCTCAAATAAATCCAGTGAATTCCTTTGTCAGTCTTCCCTCTCTCTTGTTCTTTGGAATGAGCCAAACTTGTTAGTCATGAAAAAATCCAGGTTTAAACCACCTTTCTTTATGTTAAACGACGCATTTGATCTAGAATTTCTTTACTTTGCTTAAAATGCATTTATAACTTAGAGCATTTTACATTTTTGCGTTTTTGACTGCAAGCGACAAGTTACACGTGTGCTACAAAATTTTCAGGACCTCGCCGCGCAAAGGAAAAATGAATTATTGTTGTATTATGTAAGTTTGAGAATCAAACGATACGGCATTAGCCGAACGAGAGCGAAAAACTGGCCGAATAAACTAGCACTTTCAACTAATGCATTAGCTAACGTTCAAAGGTTCTCTTTACAGGATTCAACTACAGCTTTGAGGTAGTTGCGCGAACGTTTCTACTCACCGCTGTCTGGACAAACATCGAATTTATTTCGTCCAATATTCTCTTCGTTTAGAAACTGGGTGGTGGTCCTTACACCAAGCGGTTCAACATTAGCGTCTTCACATGTCAACAACCTGCATTGTATGACAAAGATTGCAAGAATCTTCATGAATATTGATTGTGCTGTAACCGATCAGATTCATGTTTTGCGACAAACAGATATGAATATTTAAACGCATTATCGTTCAGGTTTTGCTTGAGCATACATACATAAAAGGTAAATGAATGCTGGTTTTTACGATAAAGTTTCCATTATTTGCTCCTTACCATTGGCATCACTGCGTTTCAGTTGGAAAGCCTTTCAGTGGTGAATATTTTTGGGAAATAAAATTTTACGACTAGTAGTGAGGGCAAGAGAATGTTCCCTTGGAGAGGGAAAAGGTTCTAGCATGAAAATGAGAGCTGATGAAATAATTTTCATTTTAATTTATGTTTTGCAGTAATTTTCGTGCGAGCCAAAACCCGAAAAATATTTTCATTTGCGACAGTAAAAAAAAGAAACGAAAAACAAAAAAAACAAAAATCACAAAACGCAAAACAAAAGCATAAATAGCCTGAAAAAAAAAATAGGGATTCGCGACCCTACCGCGATTCAAACCAATACTCCAACGATGACAGTGCAACATTGTAACCATACGAGCAAAGTGGACATTGATATTGATATCGAGTCAGTCCTAGAATTATTACCTTGTGAAATATGGCTACCTCTTTTTAGAAAAGTCTCTGCCTAGGCACTTTTTCTTGTAAAGGAAATGTTTTATCAAATCTGCTTTTACTCGACGGACGGAAATTTTGGTTCGTGCGGGGTAAACGTGCGTAACAAAAAAGTGGACGTCACTGTTTATTTTCATTCTTCGTGAATATTTTTTTTCGTCTCCTGTTTGTAGTGAAGGATAAATAAAGACTAAAGATAGTTAGTGACAAGCACTCTGAAGTACATTTGAGAGGGATTCAGTACGAGCCCGTGTATTTTAGACGTTCCAGAGGGTTGAGAGCAGGTTACATATAAACGTTACCATATCTAGACGCTTCAAGAGATTGTTGACGATATTGGGCCAAAATTCAATTTTTTTTCTGTTTAATTATAACTTTTCACGTGGAAAATTGAAGCAATGTATCGTTTTTGAGATCAGAATGGCTTTAAGCGAATTGCGAGCCATTTATGCATTATTATTCACACTTCAAGATCACAGTTATTGGCATTATTATACGACTGCATAACCCCAAGGCCCTTGGAAGCGGAAAAGGAAATCATAGCATAACGAGTTTTTTTTGGCAGAATTTCCTTTGTGGAGGTTTTTCTTTTAAAATATGAAAATTTCCCTTTCGAAATCGTGTCTCAACACTTAAAATGGAATGACGAAGCAAAAATGTCACGCTTAATTTTTCAAAATTGACCCGAACCTTGGCTGACTGTTTTACTGATTTAATGACTATTTTTTATTAGTTATTCCCCCCCCCCCCCCAAAAAAAAAAAAAAAAAAAAACAATATAAAAGAAAGCCACAGGAGGAAGTGAGAGAAAAGGAACATTGGCTTTAACCGAAGGCTTTGAGAGTTTGGAGCAAAAACAGCGTTGGCTGGATTTAGTTTATACCAAGTTAGTTAATTTTTTTTGCTATTTTATTTTACTTGAGAAGGTTTTAATTTTGTTTACGATCTCGTAAAATAGATAATCTGTTTTTCTGCCCTCTAGACACAACGACGATAAAGAAATTTGTTTTAGATAGCTAGTAAATTTGATTACACTATTCCAATTTCATGAGTGTGCTTCATAACTCCATTGTGCACGACGTAAGCAAACAAGTGCCTCCAGAGAACATCTTCTCTGCGATTGACTTCGGAATTTCACATGTAAACTTCCTTTCAAGCGTGCTTCGAGTTTCAAAATTTTCAAGATGACTTGTCCACTAAATTTTGAAAGACCATTTGGAGCTCAAAATGACGAGTAACTGAATATTCTAAAGAATATATGAATTTCAGATTTTCGTTGTGTTTCATTCTAAAGAATACTCGATTGGAAAACAATGGACATTGTTAACAAGCCTTGACAATTTTTGATTACTGAAGCATCAGCACTCTTCATGAGTGTCGATTTCGGAATATTTTAAAGATATGTTAATTGAAGTCATCCGTCGCTCTTCCCGCCAAAATAATAAAAAAAAGTGCATAAAAATGCAATGTGAATTCGGCGCGAAAATTTAAAGGATTAGGATTAGAGGATACTTCTTAATTTCTGATCGTCAGTAACCGTATGACGCCATCAGTGTAAAATAAAAAACCTCGCTTCGTGCTGAAACAATTGGAAGTTTGCAAACATCTACTACATCTAGTTTAGGATAAGATAAAGTTAAACGGTTTCCAGTTTTGATTGTCATCAAAAATTAAGAGAAGTTCTAATGGAAGGAATTTCTCTAATAGCGATAGAATCTCGGCTTTGTGTTAAAAATAGGCCTTATTTGTTTTTGTTCTTCAATTTTTATTTCGACCATTCGACAATTAGAAGTTTACGTATGATGGACGATCCTCGCAGTAGATAGCGCTATTTGAGCAATAGCGAAATTCAGACCTGAAAAAAATCAGGCCTGTACGGGACTCGAACCACTGACCTCTGCGATACTAGTGCAGCGCTCTAACCAATTGAGCTAACAAGCCAACTGAGAGCAGGCCGTTAAGTTGATTCGTAATGAACCCGTGAAAGTGATAAATGAGATAGAATAAATATATGAAAATCATATATTTTGAACTGCGGTATTTGATACGTATGATGGACGATCCTCGCAGTAGATAGCGCTATTTGAGCAATAGCGAAATTCAGACCTGAAAAAAATCAGGCCTGTACGGGACTCGAACCACTGACCTCTGCGATACTAGTGCAGCGCTCTAACCAATTGAGCTAACAAGCCAACTGAGAGCAGGCCGTTAAGTTGATTCGTAATGAACCCGTGAAAGTGATAAATGAGATAGAATAAATATATGAAAATCATATATTTTGAACTGCGGTATTTGATACGTATGATGGACGATCCTCGCAGTAGATAGCGCTATTTGAGCAATAGCGAAATTCAGACCTGAAAAAAATCAGGCCTGTACGGGACTCGAACCACTGACCTCTGCGATACTAGTGCAGCGCTCTAACCAATTGAGCNAGGAAATCATAGCATAACGAGTTTTTTTTGGCAGAATTTCCTTTGTGGAGGTTTTTCTTTTAAAATATGAAAATTTCCCTTTCGAAATCGTGTCTCAACACTTAAAATGGAATGACGAAGCAAAAATGTCACGCTTAATTTTTCAAAATTGACCCGAACCTTGGCTGACTGTTTTACTGATTTAATGACTATTTTTTATTAGTTATTCCCCCCCCCCCCCCAAAAAAAAAAATAAAAATAAAATAATACTGCACTAGAAATCACCATATTGTGTCGAAGTTTGGCTAGGCATAAGTATTTTTCCTATGACGTCAATGGCGACATGTTCAATAACACAAAACAGTATTAATAAACATCAAGTTATCGAAAGAAGCTGCTAAAGATAATCATCCTTTTGACAAATAATTGGAAAATTCCCTGTCCAAACGGACAAGGAATTTTCCATTGAAGGATCAATTACGTCGCCTTTTTTTCACTTTCAACCATTTTACGATCGAAACAGAAAGTTCAGCTCTGACTTCATTGTTCAATATCCGCGTTTTCTTCGTAGGAAACCCTTCTTTCGAGTATGTCATGATCATCGCTTAAAATAATGCACCGCACACGCATCTCACACTGCAACTTTATAATTTTATATTTCCCTTGACAAATCGACTAAAGAAACCCCAAAACGAACGACTGACTATCGAGTGAAATTACCAAATTGCTATAAACTATCACAGAAATACTATTAACTGGCGAGTTAATGGCGACGTACCCTATCCTTAATTAATCTTGACAATATAATAACTTTTCACAAGCATCTTTGACATATCGCATAGAAAATAGGCAGATACATTTCAGAAAAAAGGGTACACACCTTACAAATCTCTTTGACATGGAAGAGAAAAATTATGACATCCGCTCAGAAACTTCTAACCCTATTGACAAGCTAAAAGGAATTCGAAGTCACTGTGGGGGAGAGTGTAGTTGTACCTGAAACTCACCGAAATATAAATATTAGTGTTTTATATCAAAAGTAGCTTTATTACAATATTTTTTACAGGTGTGAGCTTTTACTAAAATATGAAATACTTTTAAAATCGAATAGTCGTTAAAATGATTGTAAACTAGTGGGTAATTGTTTATCAAAGTAAAGAAAACTTTAGAGTACGTACTTTTTAAAATTCAGAATGATGTTTTTTCCGTTTTCATGGGAAGTCAAGGATGTCGTGTTCTTTTGTGGTTGCTTAGATGCAATATCACAAAAGAATAGAAAGTTAAGTGTTTTACGTAAATCCTGGTTAAAATAGTCATAATGTTGTGATTTGCTAATAAATAATGCTTCCGAGGAACCTAATATCACACTTGTTGAAACAGAAGGGGACACTTAAACGCCAAAGTGCAATATTAGTATTTCCTAGTAGAAGGCGGTTGCTGAATTCGTCCAGAACATTTAGTTGCGATCAATTGAATCTTCAAAGGGAAGATTTGAAATTTTCACGCTCTGATTTACATTTCATGGTCACGTTTGGCTTGAGTTACTTTTGGTTTCGAGCGACCGAAACTCAACCGATTTCGCGTATTGCTGCTGTGTTGTGAGCTGTGGGAAAAAAAACTTTGCCGGGAATGGATTCAAAAATTTTACTCGGTGTTGAATTTCTAATGCTGGTCTGTCTGCTTTCGATGGAATCTGGTACATGTTCTACCGATGGGTTTCAAATCTTCAGAGAAACAATAGACTCTTTCAGAATCCCGCCATCAAAATGTAACCCGACAAATCAAACCTTCGATTACTGTCTCGAGTACAACGCAAAGAAAAGCAAAGGAAACATGAAAACGCCATGTGATTGCTCTTGTGACACAGCAAGCGCTACGTTTGAATTTCGAAACTATGCTTGGTCTTGTCAGAAAAATAATGAAACAAGAGCTTCTTTTGGTAAGTATTATGTTCATCTTACTGCGATATTGTCGTTAAAGAACAGTCAACAATGAATGAAGACAAATGGGCCTTAAGCATGTATACTTTACTCGAGTTATTTCATATTTTATTGAAACAGTGGGGTCATAACATGATTTAGTTCATCGTGAAATAAAATGTGTTAAATGCCAAGTTTAAATTGTCTATGAAGTAATAATTTAACTATGTTTATCTGTGCCCATCATTGTTCATTTTTGTGGCAATTTTCTTGCCAATTTTCCCGCTGATTAATGCTCAAAATATGATGAGAACTCAACAGCTGTCGAACCTGTATTCTTGTTTTTCCGACTGTCAGTTCGATGACGCAAACCACCACAAAATTCTTCCAGCTTAAATTCGCTAGAAAAGCCGAAAAAATTGACCACAACTAACAGGAAACTGTGTACTTCTTCCCTGGAGGGCAAAGGAAGCCGCAAAAAGCAAGCCATTTTTTTTTTTAAAAAAAATGTTTTCCTGAACATTGTCAATTTATCAATATCCCTTAGAAACGCTATTTGAAATTACTGTTGTATGAAAGTGCAGTTTTCATCGTAATAAATTATCACTGTTTTTTTTTCTGTCAAGCTGGTCTCGTAAAAAATTTCCTTTTGTGCAAAGGTAAACGTCCTGTAAAACAAATCTAGACGGTGTAAAGTTTTAACATACATATATTTTTTTCTTTAAATCAAAGGCTGCGGTATGCTATTTGACAAAGAAGACAATGCAACCGAACTGAATTTGCTGAGAAATGAGCGCAAGAAAAAACTGATGTGGAAGGCAGGCCCCTGCACCATCAACTTCCAAGATTCTTCGTACATCAACTGTCATGGAAAAAAGGTCTCTATGGCAACTAGGTCAGCAAACTCCATGTTTCAGATTGAAGGAGAGTCAGATTATCCAAATCTGAACGAACTAGAGGTAGAAAAAATTTCTGTCCTTACTTTGCGTGAATTACTTTTAAAGTTATTCTTTAAAAATCTTCCCGGGAAACCTATCAAGCGAATGTATGTCATTTATTTCAATTAGGTGGAATACCCTTCGAGAAGCGTTGTGGAAGGTAAAATTGTGACACTTGAATTAGAATGTAAAGATTCTGATGGCTCAACCACGAAAAGTTGCCTGCTGTTCAAATTAGAAGGAGGCACATCATGTGAGTTGCTATCAGATTTGATATTTATTTATACCTAAATGGTGCTTAATTTCTCGGGTTTTTTTTAATTTCGTGTTTTTCGCGCTTGTAAAAAAAAAAAAGCGAAATAAAGACCCGCGAATAATGACTCTCGCGAAATTTCAATCACAAAAAAATGATCAACATGTACTAACAACAACATATACAGGGTATGTATCCACAAATACACAATTTAGTGACTGGTCTTACCAGTAACTTTTATATTGTTGTTGTTGTGAAATAACGTTACTATGGAAAGATTTTGCATTTTGGAGTGGAAATTCTAGCAGTTACATCTGAATCGTCAGATTCGCACAAATTCCTCAGAATATCTTTGAATGCAGTCGTCAAAAGTAAACTCTTTGAAAAATGCAATAATGCTGAGAACGCGTGAAAGACAAAATTTAATGATTTTTTTCATATTCCCTAATGAAATCGCGAAAATAAAACCCCGCGAAATTAATTACCCAAGAAGTTAAGTACCAATAAGATTTTCCTACTCAAGATTCTCGAGACATTTAATTGCATTTCTCTTGAGTTGATCCAGCCATAGGGGTTCACTTGAACTGTTTTGGAAAATTTAAAAAAAGCTCACGCGGAAAATTTCCAAAGCTTCAAGATTCAGGACGCTTCTAATTGCACTGTACTTGATTTCCAGCATGTTTTCTTCGGCTGGAATAATGACGCATTAACTGAAAGCACATGGCCGCGAACAATATAAAATCCAGAACAGAAACCACTAGACCTCCGTGAACCTAGAATAGGTTCACAATAGAGCCGATTATCCTAAAATCGTCACGAATCTAGGTCATTTTGATATTGTTATGCGACTCGTTTTTCTATTTGAACACGTGCGGATGAATCCATGATAAAATAATCGTTCCGGAACTTCAGAATACTTCTCGAATTGTGTGATGTGTTTTCTAAAGGGATCAGTTTACATTACGGAATAACTTTTACCATCGATTATGACAATTTATTTGTCTTCTAGTTCCTCAGTGACAAATAACGATTTTTTGTTCATGAAAGCGTGGTCCAATATTTTATCACGATATTTACTAGGACCGCCGCGGTGCTGAAAAGAATTTTCAATTAACTTGTCAGTGAGGTCCTGTTCATAACAACAAGTTCTTTTGCAATTTTTTCTGCCTCATTGTTTTTTTTAAACACAGAAACAAGACTTTAAGATGAAGAAGAAAAACTGATAACGAAAAAACAACAACAACAATCTAGAAATCATTTCAGAATACAAAACCATTCGTCAATGCGTTAGGAGTTACGCACGAAACTTGATAATTCCGATAAAAGCTCCACATTCCTGTAATATCAGATATTCGAGGGCGGTGCTCTTTAAGTAAATACGGTATTTATAAATCAGTTAGGTCTTTTATAGGTTGAGAGCAACGCACAACAAATATCTTACCTTAGCAACAGACCGAGAACTACCGAGTTATTTTCAAAATATCTTTCAGTTTTTGAACGCGTAGGCTGTGTAAGTGCAGCTGCAATACGATGTACATGTTGATATCACCGTCTCGACAATCCTACGCAAGCTAGACAAAACTTCCGCCAACTGTGATAGACCCCTTTAGCTTGTATGTTTTGTTTGCTCATTACAGGTTATGTGATAATACTCAGCGAGAGAGAAAGCGAGAGGCGTTTCTTTTAAATTTGCTCTCATTCACGTGCATATCTACGCATCATTTACAAAAGATAAAGCAGGGAATTCCCTTGAGACCCACAATGGCTAAACAAAGCATACAAGCTAAAGATTGTGAAGCATATTGCAATATTTGGGACACTGTTGTTGATGCGATCTAACCCTGTAGGGTAATTATTGGAGAATAACGCAATGCCCTTATTCACTCGTACGCGAGAAACTTTTCACATTTATGCCTTTCTCTCTCTGCCCAAAACAAATCTCCAAATGCTGCTCTTGCCTGGGCTCTGTTTACTGTGCACCAAAAAATAACAAACTTAAATTGGAGCAATATGGCTATGGACAATAGTTCCATAGCCGCTTTTATTGAAACAAACAGAACAAGAATGAATTCCGTTAAGGTGTTTGCCCAGTAAAGGTGCGGGCCATTTGTTGATTGACAGCTTGGAGCATCAACTAATAAGCAAACCTTTTTTATGAATAAGGGTTCTGTTTGGAGCAACTGAAAATGAAGCAAATATAGATGCCATTTCAAAATCCTCCACGTAGGCTTTAAAAGAATGGTATTCCTAACTACATGTTCATCTCGGTTTCGATAATTCTGAGGGTGCCTGGAAAGAACCTTCCTTGTGTTGCCAATTTTGTTCATGTGGGCTTACGCATTAAATGCGACTTGTGTTTGTTCATGCCAGATATACCTTAACATTACAAGGTTCTCACGTAAACTGAAAACGGGGAAGATTCATCCACACTTTTCGCACATTTCCAATAATCCTTTCGTGAACTTCGTAAAAAAATTGCTAAAACTTCAAAAATAATGAAAAAAAGATGATATAGTATGGCCACTTCAGTGAATAAACAGCTGAGAGAAATAAGTTTACTTTTTGTTGTTTGCTGCTAAAATTCGAGTTCTCTCTAAATTGTTCCTTAGAGATCAAATCAATATCTCAACGTGATGCACTCATGACGTTTGCATCCTTTGGCCAACAAGAGAGTGTACCATACTAATAAAACGTGATAACATTTCTATCTCAGGTCCAGTGGTCCCGACGACTCCCTTTCCTACAGTAGTCGACACAGCAATAAACACAGAGGTAGTTCCATCAATTGCTACATCTCAGACTCAGGTATCTCCTGCCACAGAGTAGGAAACGATTTTAAAGTCAAGCATTTTCTTTTCAAACCGGTCTGGTTATTCAGCGTTGAAAACATGTCGCAAAAAATTGGCCTTCTTGGTGTTTGTTCTTTTATCCCCTAAATTGCCATCGTACAGAACATTTTCCATCGTACAGAACATTTTGCATGAATCATACGCACCTTATTTATATGCCGCACACTTAACAGCTGAGAACCCTGAAGGCTATTATAGAGAAAAGAGATGGTGTGTAGCTAAACTGGGAAATTAGTAGGGAAATTTCATAGTTTTGGTGTCACTAGAGACTGACTCCAATGGAAAAAAAAAAAAAGGACGCTAACTTCGTCGCTGGCAAAGTAGAGAAAAATGAAGCTTCTCAGGGTATACTTTGTCTTCAAAGATTAAAAGGAAAAAATACCCGTATACAGTACCACTTCAGAGAAACCAGTAGATTTACATTTGCATCGTTTTTTATCAACAAAAAGTTCCATAAACTGAATTGCTTTGTTTCCAAGCGTTTGAGGCTTAGTCCTACGTCACAAGAACGACATTTGAATTTCCTCTGCTGCAGGAAAAAGGCTGAGCTGTTCTCCAAACGTCTCAAAAAAACCTTTCGTGAAACTTATTAATTGTTGACAAGTTCTGAACTAATTTCATTCTACAAGTTATCTTAATACATATTCCGTCACCGAATCCTCAAATTTCGTTTTTGTAATCCTTTTTTCTTCAACATTGAATCTTTAATTGCGTTGATGTTACGAAACGTTTTCTCTTCTCCAGATTTTCTTACCTCCAAACTCTTCCGCTGATAAACAGACCGGAGGCCTGGACAATCTATCTGTTTTTCTTATTGTCGGACTGACCCTCTCACTAAGTGCCCTTTTTGTCATCGTGGGAGTTTTCGTTTATCGACGAAACTGTGCACGGTAAGTTAAACAGTAAAGTGTGAAATGTTTCCATACAAACAACGAAAAATTAGATTTGAACTTCAGCCCAAAAATAGAACTAGAAAAAGTTGATTAAAAGAGACCACTTAGATCTCACCGGTATTTTTTTTCGTTTTTTTTTTTTTCGTGAACTATTCTTGTAGAGATAACCCTTATTGGGACGCTGAAGAGCATAGCTCCCACTCGAACCCAGACTCCGAGCGAAGTGAAAAGGATCCAGGTTACGCTTCATTGAGCCATTGTACAACCAGTAAGTATAAACTGCTGAATAGAATCGTGCGTATTCACGTGTTGCTTTTGATCACGATCATGCCGCAATGTGGGAGGGGAGGGTGGTTAGTGTTGTAACCACACGTAACTGTCCAATCAAAGTTTCAAGATGTTGACCGACCCCATGCGTACAGTTGAGACAGTAAAGCTTTCATTTTAATCATTAATATTTTGATAAAAGATAGAGTACTTTAGTTGATCTCCAGGAGATGTGTACAGTAACGACAAACTCCGGAGGGATTAAATCAAGTGCTTTTATCATGAAAACTCTAGATCTGGTACATCAGTATTTTATAACTCCCCCGGACGATCGATTTTCAAAAACACGCTTAAGAAGGAAGAAAAATACTGAAAAGAGGGGTTTACAGTTTTTTCTTTTCTCTTTGTAGCTACCTACGCCTCGACCTATCATATACCCAGCACCTTGGGGGGAATAAGTACCCTTGGGGGAGAAGACCCGATTTATAGTACCGTGGATGAGTACCAAGACCCAGCCATGACACAGAGCCCCAGAAACGAGAGACCTTTAAGTATGGAACAACGTGTGTATAATCTAGTTGAGGCCTTAGATACAAGCGCACCAGTCGGGACGTATGAATATTGTTCCAATGAAGTAAGTCAAGCACAGCCTCCAGTTAGCGTTGATACAAGCACGCCAATCGGGACGTATGAACATTGTTCCAATGAAATAAGTCAAGCACAATCTCCGGTTAGCGTGGAACAGCGTGTGTACAACATTATTGAAGGCATTGATTTAAAGACCGCGGAAGACCTTAACGGAGATGGTGCTAAGGAAGGAAACCAAGAGAACCAGGCACCCCCAAGTGTGGAGCAACGTGTGTACAACCTCATTGAGCCCATGGATAACACAAACGCATCAGACGGCCCCAATAAAGAAGAAATCAAAGTGCAGGCTCCCATAAGCGTCGGACAACGACTTTATAACATCATAGAGCCCCTGGATACAGTGACCTGCCAACAAGACGACAGTTGTGATCCTAAAAGCAAGGAAATTGGTAAGCATCCATTGTACAACATTTTGGGGGAACCTTTACCGAGTGACATTGAACATGGAGACAAAAAGGAGTCTAGCAGATTAAAGGACCCTATTTATAATGTCCTCGAGGAACCAAAACTGGAAGAAACAAAGGAACCAAGAAATGCTTCGCTGGACTCTTCTTGGGAGTATGAGGAACCGATAGAACTGTAGAAAGACTGAAAAGATGCTGTCTGGGAAAAGGAAGAGCTCTTGCTCATCTGAGTACGTAAGCTGGCCTGCCCCTTCAAAGCAAAAGTAAAGAAAGAAATAGTAAACTTTTCCATTCACAGAGGGACACAAACTCTGATAATGGCTTACACTTGTCGTTGGTGTTCAGTTGCTTATTTCTCAAATATTCCCCTGTTTGTTGGGACAATCGAAATAAAGCTGGATAGAACTTCTAACGTAAGTTGAATAAATGAAAAATATTTTAAGAATAAAAAAAAAAATTGTGGATAGTAAGCAAGCTTTGCTTGAATATGAAAATGTTTTGTGAATCACCGTTTATACATGGTAAACGTTAGTCATGGATATGATATTTAAGTGTAAATAATTTGGATACAAAGACAGAAGGTTACGTAGAATAAAAAAATCTGTTTGTAAGTACTGTGTGAATTGATCATTATCTTTTTATGGAATAGTGGACTAAGGAAGTGCATGGAATATCACGTGTAATGTCACAACCCCTTGGCCGTGGGAGGTCTACGTACGAGACTATATTACATTTGCGTCATATTCCTAATTTCCACTGATTTCTCCTGCTGAATTTTGGATGAAATTAACTGATTTAGTTAAAATCCGGCTTGTGCCAGGTACTGCATTATTCTCAACAGAATGAGAAATTTTTGATATGATTCGCAATTGTTTCCCTGGTTTAGAAGGGGACGGTTCCACTAAATGCACTGCGCAGTCCACACAAATTTCCAAAGGGTAACTTCCAACTCACAAGGGCCCTTGAAGCGACAGGAAGTTTTAAGGGGTTCTTCGCAAGTTTAAAAACTTACAATAAATTCAATAGATCAATATTTGTTCTAAGGTCTTTCCTCCGCAAAGGAACCTGCACTGATGTTTATGAGCGGCGAAATAAGGTTGTAGAGTCTTCTGGCCCGGAAATTATCGAATGCAAGCATAAAACTCACCGGGCATTATATTAAGTCTGATGATTAGCTATCATAAACCACTTTTCAGGAATGCTCTTTGTGATGTAGAACGTCGTTAGACTTCTTTTGGACAGATACGTACTTATGATATTTCACAAATCGGATGCTCTGGACACTTGAGATTTCAAAGTTTGCCTCTGCGAGAGAACCCCACTTTAAGGTCATTCTTAGAAATTGAGAAGGAGCATACGCGCAGCTAAGGGTACGATGACCCCTTTCCCCCCTCCGTGAACTTTTCAAAATACTTCGCCATCTGTAATTTATTTAAAAATTATTTCGTTGAAACTTTTTGCAATCAAAACTGAACAAAATCAGTTCCACCATGAGCAGTGCTGGGTGAAGAATTCGGCTGTCTACCTGCGCAAAATGAACTTAAGGACAAGGGTTCGCTCAAATTCAATGGCTCACTCAGTCACAATCATCAAGGTGGATCCTCTCCGGCATGCATCTGAAGCTCGTCAAACCGATGAATCTCGATATAGTACATTAAATCAGATTTTTCAACGACCAAGATTACTTCTCAGCAAAGTGATAACTTTTATTTAAATTTCTTCTTACTCGAAACATTGAGTTTTCAAATCATTTGAAAAGAAACTTCTACCAAAGCTTATCAATTTCTGGATTGTGCGGAATGCTTTTTTTTTGATAAGGAAAATGTTATTTGCGGTATTGTCTTCAGACTGCAAAATGGACTGCGTACTTCAACATTATATTAACGAAACTATTCAAAAATATGCTTCCTTTGGGAAACGTAACATATTGAAGAGTGTCTTTAGCCTTGATCTTCTCTAATCTAACACTTCCTCCCACAATTTGAATGTCATTTTTAATGCTACTATATTATCTGATATTATTACCCAACTGTGCTTCTTAGAGTACAACTAACTCTCGAGACGAGTACAAATATCACGCGATATTTGTACTCCAGAAATATCCGCGAAATTCGCCCGCACTGAAATAACAAATTGGCGTGTTGGATAATAAATCTCATGTTGAACGTTTTGTTGTGTAGTATCGTTGAGTATTTTTACTCGTTGTTTGTATTTTGACTCGCAATGCGGGCTTGCTAAAATACGGCACAACTCGTAAAAATACTCAGCGATACTACACAACGAAACGTTTAATAACATATATTAACTCTTACGGCTGTCCGTCATATTCGATGTTGACTGTGATACTGGAGTCGGAACAATGTTTCCTTGTTTTATCATCTTCCTCATTTTTCTTTATTGAAAGTTAATTTGCAAGCTCTCTTGTAAGTAACAAGACCATGGTTAAAATCAGTGAATAGTCACTGAAAAAAATAGAATTGTTCGACTTTGCATGATTTTATATGGAGCATTTTCGGGACGACCTTTTAAGAGTTTATTGGATTTCCCAGGTGCCTTACAAATGTAATGGCATCAATTATTTGTTGTTTTCTTTCTACGTTGTCAAGGTTAATAAGACGATGAATATAATTAATATAACTGCTCCAACGAAAATACTGTTAAATTATAGGAGATAATTTTTCTCAAAACAGTGAATGTTTCAGGGAATCTTGAGTACCCATTAGGTCAAAGGACTGGTTATTCGGCTATGGAAACATAAATACAAGGTCTAAATAAAAGAAGAGGATATCTACCTTAAAGGGGATATGTCACGCTATGAGTTTGCGCAATAAGTTCTTCCTGTTTGTCACTTAAAGGTGTCAGATTGATATCATACTCCATTGTAATTGGCAAGAAGCAGAGCTTGTTTGGTCACGCACTATTTGTTTGAGGCGGGTTATTAATAAAAACTCTCTATATAGGAAACTTTGGCTTCTATTATTTCAGGTGACTTTAAGTAAAAGTCCAGGCTTTTCATCTCGAAGACAATACAATTTTAAGGTCATATTAAAGAAGAATAAAAAGTAAGTTTTGTGTGTGTTATTGGCAAATCGAAGATAACCGGAGCAGCTCTCCAGGAAGGAAATTCACAGGATAATTTGAATTATATCAACAAAGTTACCATTTCAACTTTGTTGATATATTCAAATTATTTCGTTACCCCGACCGACAAAGCGCCAAACAGTTTCTTTAGAAACTATCAGCCTTTATTCACAGGATAAGTTATCCAATATCCTCTATCAGCAATTTACTTCCTTCTGGCCAACTTGCCGAATCCAAGTCAAAACTATTATTTTATTCATAGGCATCAATCGGCAGTTACTCGTGAGGAGATAGATCTTGAAATCTTTGTGCGCTTACGTGCAAATCACACGACTTATAATCATATAATCACCCTACCCAGTTATTAAATTGATTGTCAAGTACCTTTAGCAGTGGTTTAGAAAGAAATGCTAAATTTATCAGTGTCATCTGGTATTTATCCTTCAAAGAACAAAATGGCAAATATTATTCCAATTATCAAGGTAGATGACTTACCTGTCTTCTCAGTTGTTCTCGAATTCTTAAATCATTTTCAAGAAACTACTTTGCAAAAGAAAGTAGTTATTCATGGCAACAGGTAAGTTCCTGGCTACATCACAATATGGTTTTCGAAAAGCGCATTCTTCTCACCATAAATTTCTTGATGTTGTAAATGTTATGCAGACTAATATAGCCACCCACCTCTTTTCTTGTTACGATTTTACTGATCTCAACAATACGTTTGACAAAGTTGGTAATAAAATACAATTGGCTCTCGTGTTATCCTATCTAAAAGGACTTTTACAACCTTTGGTGTCCTTCAAGGGTCTGTACTTGGCCCTTACCTCTTTTTGGTACACATTAAGACAATTTTAATTCTTTCTTGAACGCTGATGATGCAAGTATACCGTGTGGTGATAAGAAACTTAAGTATCAAGAAACAGTTGTTGTGAAGCAGGAATTCTGTATGTAACTAGAAATGAATAAAGGAGTAAGTTTTTAAAGAAACTGTGGTGCTATTGGAAGTATCTCAGGACGATTTGGCTTTATCAACTGAGTCGATAACATAAATTGGCCACGAGGAGAGTTTCTAAGGCTGGCATTGTGAGCGTGAGCCCTTCATCAATTGCTCTGACTTGGTTTAGAGCTAGCCTACAAAGTCGGACAGCCCCCGTCTTGGTATGAGGTCAAGTTAATTGATGGTGAATCAAAAAACGGGAGCTTACTTATTCTCGTTTGGGAGCAGCAAATACTTGAAACTCCGTGCAGTTAAGATCTTCGAGATTACTATAACGAGTTCTTACTTGTTTACGCCCTTGAATCCCTTTAGTAGCGGAGCGAAATGCCGAACTTATTTGGCAAAAAGAACAATGGATCGTGATACCAGTTTGTGTTTTAATTCACCTGTTTTATCCCTTCACAAAAGATTAAACCGCCATTTCGTCGTCGATGATCACGCGCTAATCATACTTGAAATCTTGCTGGTATTGATGCACGCTTCAATACAACACGAAACATATTACGGCGATCTTTTTAATGAACTTTCATGATGGAGAACATTCAATTTACGCCGGGATGTTGGAAGACTATTTAGATGTCTTTCAAACGATGAATTGAATATCAGTCTAACCTTCAAATGAATAAAGGGGACAAGCTCGCTTCTATCGGAGCTGTGAAGCTGCGTCGGTGCGGGGGTATTACAAGATAATTTGATTTTATCAACTGAGTTTGTAATGTAAATTGGCCACCGTAAAGAGATTTTAAAGCTGAAGTTTAGAGGATTAGCTCTCCGTTAGCCTAACCTAGTTTGTTTTTACTGTACTCGTAAATTTTTCCGTGAACATGAGTCTGGCCTAACTGTTTTCAATGTGGTTCTGCAATTTAGCTTATCGAGTTACATTAGTCCTTTTACGGTTTTCATTTACCATCATTTAATGACATAAAGTTAACACCATTGTTTGTACACAGTTTTTAATTGAAATAGCGCTGCCTTGGTTTAATGCGATGCATAACTGGTTTATCAAAGTCATTATTAAAGTCGAATTACTTAATATGACCGATTAGGCGCGAAGCCAACACTGTTCAGCACTGGCAGCTTCTTTCCCTCGCTCAGAGACGCTCACGATTATGCCTGATCAAGACTCTAGTTGCCGTTATTTTCTTATTCATGCTTATCGTGATATACCGGTTATTGCTCTACTCTTGGTATGGTACTGTTACATAATTGTTCCATCGATAACATTCCACAGGAAAAACTAGAACACGTTTTTGACTAATTTATCGCATCCTGCATTTTGAATTGACACACTCGGCTTTGCGCAGGAAGGAAGAAAGCTATCTTTCATCATAGAAAAAGTGGAAAAGTAAAAGCATTGGATGTCATATCTTTTGGTCATTTGCCTCATCGATGTGTTCCTATCATAAGGATGAGGCCGCCATTTTGTCTATAGACGTACGCGTGTTTCTGGAAGATCATACTCGAAATAATTTGTTGTATTGAGACACACTACAGTATTATGTAATGTACCAGACTTAGACAAGTAAGATCTGCTGTGAGTATGTTTACTTTGAAAATAAAAATTCCCGTTGGTCTGTTGAGCCATTCTTTGAAAGTCTATCGAAAAGGATAAATTAAAATTCTGTCCGTTTTCTAAAGAGTGTTTCAGAAATAATTCATATCTCCCAATTTTAAACTAAGAGAGGTGATATGCTTCATTGAGTTATTTCTACCATGGAAAAGCCACCAATTTTTTGATGAGCACAGATTCTAATCATGCTCAGCAGTCATGTGTAGTATCTGTCAAGAGCATTCTTACAGTGAAAAATTTGATTTGCGCCAGCAGGATGTTGGAACAGTCTTTGAATTTCCTTCCAGGATTAAAGAAGATATTGGGTCAATCTACTTGGTCCGTTTACTATTCTTCAATAAGGTATTTGCCCGAATAGTACTTGTGCTTATTGGTTTCCAATGTTAGTCGTATTTCACAATTTCTACAATTCAGTCACATTAATCTTGCATATGATGACTGCCATTTATTGTTAATTAATAACATAATGTTGTAGATATTGCTTTTATTCAGCTTTTCTTTGAGTGTGTGAATTAATTCAAAATATCACTTTGATTTCCTTTAACGCGTTATACAATTGGTTTGTTAAAGTCATTATAAACTCAAATCCGGCACTTTATCGGACGAAAAGCCAACACTACTTACGTCTGGCAGCTTCGTTTTCTTCGCTCACGAACATGTTTGCACTGTGCATTCGCTTTAATCAGGGATCTTTCGTTACCGCACTCATCGTGATACAACCGTGCGACTACTTGCCTTTTCGTACGCCGCTGTATGTAAAATTGCTTCTATCAACAAAAGCTGTGTACAGGTAACCAATGGAGACGTTCTGCAGTAACAAAACAAAAAACAAGCTTTTCACCAAGTTTCTTTAGAATAAAAGAGAAGTAAAAACTAAAATCATCATACTTTTTAGTGATTTGTCTCATCGAGGTATTTCTCTCATGGAAAAGCTGCCAATTTTTTTGATGAGTGCGTTCTGATCATGCCTGAAGTCACGTGAAGCAAGTATTGATACACACTTTAGAACTATGTTCTAGACATGTTTAAGGGCGATCTGTTACGGAGCATTTCAACACTGAGAAATTAAATTTACACTAGGATGTTGGAAAAGTCTCTAAAATGTTTTTCTTAGGGGTAGATTAAACTTTGTCCGTGTACTTTTCTTCAATAAATGTTTTGCAGATATAAGACTCAAGCTCAATTTTTTTCAGTGTGGGTCCTATTTCTAAATTTCCACAACTTAGCCTGCGAGTTACATTAATCCATTATGTGATGGTTGTCATTTATCGTTATATAATGAAATGAAGTTACTGATATCGTTTGCATACAGGCTTCAATTTAGACGCTTAATATTTGGTTAATTTAATATATTTTAGCATAGTCAAACGTTATCATTCCAATTATTTTATGGAAAGCAAACACAAATCATGAATGGCGGCTTCGTTTCCTCCTTCGTTTAGAGTCACTCATGAACATGTCTGCTCTAAACCATCAGCGAAAAGATCATTAAAAAAAAGGAAAGAAAACAAAAAGAAAAAGGAAACTAGAAGAGTAACCCGTGACCCGCACCTTATATTTAGCAAAGTGCTGTTGTTTTGAAGAAACGGAAACGCCAAGGATGTTTCTTCCAATTTACATCTTTCATCGTCCCCGTTGTTGTATTTAGCTTTCTTTTTTCAGCGCGCAAAGCAAATGTGAAATTTTTGGAACAACTCAGTTGTGATTGGCTCGCCTATTTTTGAAAATTCCTCGACCTTTGACGTCACACCATTCGCTATTTGGAGTACGTGAGGTTCTTACAAGCTTGTTTTTCGTAGGACTTCTTCGTGTAAAAATCTCATGGTTTTTGTTTACCGTTTCTGAGAAAATCTGCAGCTTGGTGCCACGAAAACAACCTATTTATCCGTGACCGCAGGAATTACGTGGTCAAGCATTTTTCCTAAGAGTGTTTTCACTTTTACAAAGATAAAAGCGAAGAGATAGCAATCGAAATATTGGCCGTCATTGACTGAAAGCTGTCAATATAAGGAACAACACTCGGTAGTACAAGAGCTTGAAGTACTATTTACCGAAAATGGAGATGAGAGTTTGTGTTTACTATCTATATTAGCTAGTAACCAAGCAGATGTGATCACTATGTTATTCTATGATAATGTGTATACGACGATGCTATAAACATAACTCGTTAATTCTCGAAGCGACACGAGCGACATAAATAACACGACGTAATTGATTTAGAGCTCGCTCCGCACATAATTTCGTGAGAATCTTCTCTTCACACTCACGGTGTAAGCAAAAGCAAAGACTAGTTTTCTCTCTAACAGAGAGAACAGGTTAAGGCGAAAAGCATGTTGCGCAAAATGGAAATATTTCGGATCGAATTCATTATGACGATTGTGATTTATTTGAGCCTTACTGTGATGTCGGAAAAGTTTAAGGTTTTCAGGATACGTCCGGAAGGCGAAGATGCGTGGTTAGACGCTGGAGATGCGTTTGTCATTCCTCCATCGCAGTGTGGCAGTACAAACATAGTAAATTGTCATCGATTCCGCGCCGATGTGAAGATGCCTTCTCTCGATCCATGCGCCTGTGTATGCCCGCGTGATAGAGCGACGTTCATGTTCCATAACGGGAAATACGAATGCATGGGCAACAGTCAAGTCCGAAGATCATTTGGTGAGTAATCTTGCTGCAAGATCAGTTCGTTAATGAAGCAAATTAATTCGATTATCTTTACGCAGCGCGAATTCGACCATCCCTTTATAAGAACTGAACGTTCATGACCTGACTTTGGTCCATGTACCAAGAAGGAGAACACCTTTTTTACTATAATTTGTCATATGAAGGTCATTTTTCGAATTATTTTTCGCTGTTTCCAATAGCAATCATCCGATTTTCGGTCTTAAGATCCACTTTGGTTTTCGTTTTCCCTTTTTGGATATTCATTTTCCCGTTTTAAACGAGACGAAAAAAAGGCTTTTTTTAGATTTTGTTATTCGCTTGTCTATTCACATGCCCTCTTATTTGGATCTTCACCTTTGGCGGCTTTTCGCTTTTGAACCTTAGATTTTCCGTTTAAAGGGGTCTATTTAATTGAATGAAATTTATGGCCAAGTCAAACGGATTTCGACAGGTTCCAACCTTCCTCTCTTTAAAAATTTACTACTGATATACAGTTGAAACAATTTCATTTTTAAAATTTTCTTCATCTATCTGCCACGTCCAATGAATGTACGAGTCTTTTGCAGCAAATCAATATCTTCTTTGGTAAAATAGTGGTCTGCGAACAGAAAATTCTAAAATCGGATTTCCTTGCTCTGAGTATGCCCGAGCGTCATAAAACTCTTAAATGTTGAATATTGCCAAATGGGGGAGAACTTGTTTAATTAGGATATTACAGGAACTAGCTTCTTGTGAGAACTTTTGACTAGATTAAAAAACTAAGGTTAGAAGTTGGTAACATCAACGCTAGGGGAAAGTAATTTTCACTCTTAAATGACATGGAATTAAAGAGAGAGGGGAGCTTCGCGTCTCTGAGCTCGACCGTAAATTGCTAGAAGATTATAATTGATTCGAGATGGACCCTGAAAAATGAGTGAGAAATATTACAGGATCGCAAAAGTTGCTCTCGAAAAAGTTAAATTTGAATTAGTTTCTCAAAGGCAATACATGAAATTACACCCGAAAATATTTATAAAAAAAATCCCAACAATTACACTTTCAAACTAAAATAGATTTCCTCCTTGAAAGGTCCAAAGTAAAGTCATGCCGTCATGACTTCTCTGGATATTCTTGTTTAATTCATTCTCTAAGGGTAAACTCTTGTTCTTGAAATAATTTTACGAACGTTGGAAATAAGCCATAAATACGTTTCTTGTTCTTGAGCAGTTTAATTACATGGACCATTATCGCATATGATCTCTTCTGTATGTACAGTCATCTCCCAATAACTCGAACCAAGCTCCCAACTCGACCTTGGATCTTCCCAGGATAGCCGCCGTACTTTAAATCAAAATTTTGCACGCACAACTCCAGCCTTTGTGAATTCATATATCAAACCTGGTGGTTACTCAGAAAAAAATCTATTACCTCTGGATCTCCGTCATACATTACCGCAATTTTACCGTCGGTTTCTCTACATGATCATATTGCGAACTCAATGAAAGCAAAATTCGTTTTTCCTCAACTCGAATCTGAACAATTTCGCAGTCACTAAATCAGTCGTAGCATTTTCGTCAATTTGTCACAAGTCAGAACAGATTGCTCTCTACTTTTAATTCCTTTAATTCTTTAAATACTTTATTGAAGCACCGTGTATTTTTTCGTTTTTTTTTTTGCAATTAACCCTACACAACATAAACCGCTAATTATTTCCATATTTTACAAACATCCTTCTCGAACCCCGACCTTCCCGCTCTACTATCGTATAAATTAGTGACGTTCTATTGATGAGCCCCGTAAACAGATCTGCATGCACTGATCAACAACTGAAGATCGTGATGCATCACTGAGGTCATCCAATACACTCCACTTGAGCTCGAGAGAGATTCAGAGATTGTCACTGCTTTGTAGTTCTAGAATATCCGGCATTTCTCATTACAAGGCACCTGGATTGATCGCATATTCAGAGCATATCTAATAACATATAAATGAAAAAAACTAGCCTAATTCTGCAGGAATTCTACAATATCAGTGAGCTTCCAGTAAAAATTGGACTCTTCCTTTTTGATCATTGCGTCAAAACTTGGTAAGGGTAAGTTAAAAAACTTGTTGGAGTAGAGGATCACACAAATTAAAAAATCAGCTTGTATCTCTTTTGTAAGTCAAAATCAGATGAAGCCTCTACACGGCTGCAATTTTGAGCTAGAGGATCACACAATTTTAAAAAATCAGCTTGTATCTCTTTTGTAAGTCAAAATCAGATGAAGCCTCTACACGGCTGCAATTTTGAGCAAGTGAAATGAAGTTAAAAGCAAAATTTTTACACAGAAAATAACTTCAAAACGTAAAATTTAAGACAGTATGCATTTGTGAAGAAGTAGGGCACAAGGCCCAAAACTGATCAAAAAACAACTATACATGTCTTATCTGTTTTAACTTGGTGTTTTTATTTTACTAAAATGGCCTCGCTAGGGCTTTGCCTAATCACAATATAAACACTGAATTTTTTACCTTTGCTAATGAGTGTCGTTCATTCACAAACTTGCACTGAAGATTAAGATAGATAGATAGATTATTAAAACTCCATCGCAGCCAAAGGCTAAATTACGAAATTATTTACAAAAACTTTACAATGCTTGAAAATTACAAATGAATCTTAGATAATAAATCGAAAACTGATTTTTAAGATAATACTAAAAATTCTATATAACATATTCATATAAATGTGTTAAAATATAAAGCATGAATATAAGTGGGATAAAACTACAGCCCAGACTGTTTCGACATCGCATATATAAACGTATTACTTGTTCTGTTCGTGCAAAGCTTTGGCATATTAAAAAGCCGCTGTCTTCTTAGGTTACAGCGTGAGTTGCCATGGTCTGGTGGAAGGAGCGCCTTCAATTTATGGTTTGGATCACTGACAATGTATCAAAAAGCCTGCTACATAGTACGTAATAATGCTCCAAAGTGGTTTTTATCCCACCTCTATTGCCGAGTTGCACTTTTCTGAGGTTATTATTGATATTGCTTTTTTCTTCGAGTCGTACCAGCTCTTTCTTTAAGTACTGGGGAAGACCGTCAAAAAAGACAGGTGCTGCATAATCAATAACAGATCTCACGCACGATACGTAGAACAGTGCTAGATCTTTTTTCGGGACTCCCGCTCTCTTTAACTGAGTTAGGAAGTAGAGTCTCTTGCTAGCCTTTTTGGTTATCTCAGTTACATGGTCGTTCCATGTTAGGTCGTTCTCTATTGTAAGGCCTTAAGATTAAGTCACTGTGTGGACAACTGTACACTTACAGAAATCATCAGCAAAGACAATAAGTCATTCATGAGATTCCGGCCACTTGTGGTTATTGTACATTGTGCTCTTAAGCAGTTGGAAATTCGTGTTTCCCAGTGGCAACTGTTGGGAAAAACATTTTGAAATCCAGTTACAAAGGCATGTACGTCCAGAGATAAGCTTGTATAGCTTGATTATAACATTTCTAAAAGGAATTTTGAAATCCACCGTTTAAAGAATGGTGGTTTCCTAAATGGCATCTGAAACTCAACCTGAACAGTTATCCTTTTCTGAACTTGAGGTAGGCTTCGTTGAGATAAAAGTTGGAGGAAAGCTGAGTACCTCAAACACCATACAAATGCATTAGAATTAATTACTTTTCTGTATCGCATGATGCCGGAAATAAGGGGATCTCATAGCCACCTCTTCTTTTTATAATGACGTATTTGATAGCCCCAAAGGAACGGCCCTTAACATATTGCAGAAATCCTCGGCAAAGAATCCTAATTCTCTATTTCATCGACACCTTAGTTCAAGCAATCGATTAATGATTTTTTTTTTCTTAATTCTAAAGGATTTCGCCAGCCCCCGTTTGTCACTTTTGACGGTGAAACAGTGAACAGTCCGTTAAGAATGGTTAATGACACTGACAGTAGAAGATTGACTTTGTCAAATTCTTTGCGGAGCTGCAAAGTAGACACCGTAAATTCCTGGTCTCTTGGTTGCTATGTTCCTGAAGCGCCATTTAGTAACAAGTCCCCGTTTGAAGTCCATTATGGAACGGATTTTACTGATAATCCATTCTTTCTTTCGGTGAGACTAAATAAGAAGTCATACATTAACAGATAGGTATAGGTATCCTGACGAAAGCGCAAAAGTAAGAGATCACCTGAGTCAAACGCCATATCTACCTTTACACCGAAAATAACCAATCAAAAATGACTATAGATACCAACTTCCTTCCTGAATTCAACAGCTAAGATCATCAAATTGAAACTGACCAATACATTTCCATGAGATAGACTAACAACATTATCAGAAACAACTTTCTACTTGTTTCATAGGATGACTTTCGCTGAAGTTGCCTATACCTCAGACCTTCTTTCAAGAACACCTTTATAAAATCTACCATAACTACAGACCGCAATGACGTAAAGTGTTTTCCTGTTCATACCACAGGTTGGTGGCAATGGCGTATTCAATACTGCTGAGTTCAAGGGGAAGATAATCAGGCTGGGTATCCTGTGCAACAAACTAAAGCAGTCGTTGCTGTTCAAGTACGAAGGAATTATCAATTGTAAGGCTCAGCAGAATCTTTTTCAACTTGCATTTACTTTTCAACTTTTACCAAAACTTTTTTTTCCGTTGGTAATTACAGCTTTTTCATGCTAAATATTTGTTTCTTGTTGAAAAAAATTCAGGTAACGGCACTCCGCCTACTCTTCCGCCTACTCTTCCACCTTCACCCGCAACTAAACCGCCGTCCATCACTATGAATCCACAGCCACCACAGCAAACAATAGTTTTTACAGTCACTCAGTTATCAAACGTCACTGGAGGTCGATCGACGGATCCCGAGGGTCCACCGAAGAGAGATCGGGAGCGGTATACACATGGTCGACCCTCAGTGGGGCTCATAGCAGCATTCATTGCGTCGATTCTCTTACTTACGATTGTGATTGGTTTCTCTTATCTTGGATCCCGTCATTTCAAGTAAGCGATGAATTAACGACAATTGTATATGATTTGTCTTATAAAGGTGTATGAAAGTTTCACCCCATTGCAGATTCTTCCCTTAACAATTCGCATCCGTCTTTATCAGTTCACTCCTAAATCTCAGAATTGTTTCCTGGTATAAGTTAAGGCGAAACTGTTATATTTGATGGGCAGAACTTGTCCAGATAGGGACGACCTGCCAGGAAGCGAGCTTGCAATGGGACGAATCCTTGAGGTACATGTACCATGTTGAATTTCTTTACTCACGTCGAATTCCACTGAAACATGAGATTTTTAAACAATTGTTGTTGAAGAGTTTTAGATGCATCGATAGACATTGGTACAAAGTTCCAGGTATCATCTAATATTTGATGGATCTCATGAGGATGCACTAAGTTACCTTTACAAGAGTACGACCTCATATAAAAATCCTTCATTGACGACAATGTATTCTGGGGTCGAGCTTCGACTTAAAAAACCTATGTACCAACTTTGCATTCCGCATCCTACAATTTTTTGGCTAATCCGAAAATGTAAGGCGAACCCTTATATTTCAACTACGCTTATTGAGTAAATAATTTTGTTCTTAAGAGCCACAAAGTCATTGTATGAAATTAAGTTTTAAAGGGGAAGCCTTTTAGATCTCCTTTTCTTAATTAAGACGTCTTATTTCTACAGAAAGAAGCCTCAGTTGAGACCGAAAAATGGAAAGAAAGAAGTAAGTTATTTTACTACCTGTACGAGGGATATTCATTTTGTCTTCTAACCAAAGGGAAGAAGGACTCCCGCAAAAAAGTCAAAACGAGGTTCTCGTTAAGTTTAACCCTTAGAGCAAACTTATCCCAGTGTAGCTTGAGATCGTTTACCCTTTAAGCGGATCGTTATTCTGAACAGCAAACGATTAGGACCTTCCATGACTTAAAGGATGATATCAAATGATCTACAGTCGATACTGTTCTTTTGTGTCGTTCGAACAGACTTAGAGTGAAATCAACATCCTTGATTTGCAGGCTTAACGAAACAAGAAATAAAGTAGTCAGAATTGTCTAATCTTTTTCGCTGCATGCATCTTAGGACGCGGAAGCAGCAAGGCATCGAGCCAGTTCCGCATACGAAGCTGATGATGAAAACAGATACACGGCGCTCGGAATAAGAGGGCCTCGTAAGTAGATAACTATGACTACAAAACAGCATATGATTACAACCGAAATAATATACATTCAAAGGTGACGCAACGAAATTTACGATGACGAAAGTGACCAACGGCTTTTTAACAAGATAATTTGGATTCATCACCAGAGTTTCAATATGTAATAGGCCACCATGGAGAATTTCTAAAGCTAATTTACATTATCAACTCAGTAGATAAAACCACATTTTCTTGTTATTCTCCCTACTGATTCAGCACCGCACCGTCTATGAAACGTACGCTTTTTTATGTTTTAACAGGAAGCCGACTCATTCACGAAATAACTTCAATACCAAAAATGAAAGTTACAACAGCAACGTTTAAATCGAAAGTGGTAGTCAAATTAAAAAGGAAACGAAGTAGCTTAATGGATAATTTTTAACCAACTCATGTTTTAAATGAAAAAATAATGAACGAGCCGACATTCGTAAAGTTTAGAGCAATGAAATACATTCATCAAAAATTATGTGAAGTGTTACTATTTTGATCATATGGCACCGTGGTAAGTGCTAAGATTACCTAAGATTGCGTGAGGTGCTTCCTTTGTTATAAAGATCTAACATTTCTATCTCTACTTCTTTCAAACATTCAATGTTTAGCAATTTATTCATCAAACTATAAATCACCGAATCCTGATAATGCTCCACATGCAACTAAGGGTGACTTTGGTGGAAAACGTGCATATGCTTCCTCGAGCACGCCTGTTCAACACAATATGCATGGCCATGGAGGTAACAAGGTATCAGTCCCCACTTTAGATGCCAAAGATGCCGTCTACAAGGACCCTGATTTGGACAATAATCTCAGGGGAGGTCACAGTGGTCCTGTTAGACTAAATCAACTCGTGTACAATTGTGTAGAGAACCTTAAGGCTAAGAAGAGAAGCAACAGAGATCCAAACTCGGGGCTTGAACAAGGTCCTGAGTACGACTACAAGGACCCAGATTATAAGGACCCTGACTATAGGGACCCTGACTATAAGGATCCTGACTATAGGGACCCTGACTATAAGGACCCTGACTTGGACCCCGTTCTCAGGGACAAAAACAGCGGTCCAGTTGGTATAAATCAACTTGTGTACAATTGTGTGGAAGAGCTTAAAGTTGCGGTGGCAAAAGGACATCGAAACGATGACGTATATGATCCTGGACCAGAGCATTACGGCTTGGATAGACGTAGTTTGAATCGTTCAGCGAAACCCAGTCAAAATGGTACCACGTCTCGTGAAGGTGGTAGCGATGAACATTACCGTAATCATTCAGCGACGCCTGCTAAAAATGGTACGACGTCCCGAAGTGGTCGTGTTTTAAGTAAACGTTACTTTGATCGTTCTTCGAGAGCCAGTGAATATGGCTCCATGTCCAGGGATGGTCATGACGATAGTTTGGGTAAACATCACCTTGATCGTGTTGCAAGGCCCAGTAAATACGGTTCCATGTCCTCGGATAAGAAACCGTACACCTACACTTTAGAAAAATATCTTCCACCACCAGCTCTGTATGAACTTGAAGATTATGAAACGATGCACTCACAAGTCTCTAGTGTTTTAGAACAGGATGAGGAGGAAGAATCTGAACGAAATGGCCATACTGACGATGCAGTTTATGGCACAACAAAGTTTTAAGAAGCTGTAATTATAACGACCAATCTGAACAGAACAAAATCATCGTAATATGCAATTGAAAATTCAACACCCAAACAAGGTTACCGTCCAAAGCCTTGGACACGCAAACTACAAACAGAGCCGTTATTGGTTCAACTCTTGAATCCGATTGGTCGAGAAGATGGAGCGAGGTTTTTCGAAACCAATAAAAGAGCGGAATCAATTGATGCCATTGAATTCCCAACTCAGAACGTCTAGCAATTTTAAAATTGCGCGTTTGATCTTACTCGACCTAATGATAGAAATATGACCAGACAATTCAGGTCAAGAATTTAATTACACTGCCATTGTCTTAGTAAAGATGTACTGAAAAGGACTGTTTATGAAGTCCCTGACAGTTTCATAACCAAAGTGGGTCCCATCTTGATTCTTATTGTCAAGCCATTTGAAAGATGTTTTAGATGTAATTGTCATGTGAAGTCAATTTTTTTCTTGTCGGTGGAGCAGTAAAGAAAACTATGTCATCAGTGACGGTCAATCTGTATACCTCAGTTACGTTTTCTCGTTGAGTGAATTCGAAATTTATCATCGAGCGTTACCCAATAATTTCGTAAATAAGAAATCGTGCCTATCCTTATCCAGTTAAAGTAAGTTGGAGCGAAATCCTTACTGTAACTACCCCAATCAAAACCTTTTTATCAGCTCGGAATTTTAAGATCGCATTTATCTCATTACAAAGTGTAGCAATTTAATCATAATGTTCGCACACTTCATATTGAAGTTATGCAATAAAGGGAACTGTCAGCTGAAAAATCGTTGTTAAACTCATATGATCGTTGTGTAGTTGAAACCAAAACAGCAGCTCTGGTCATTGCAGCAATACAATCCTCAGAAATTACACAGGCTGCCCTTTGAGTGAAGAAGAAGTGAGGAGAAACACTCGTTCTTGTCTCGTGTTTCACCCTACACTTCATTCGTGCTCTAGCTGCTTCCTGCGTGTTTTACAACAGAACAGAAGACAGTCAAGGCTTCTCTATTCATCAAATAGAAATTTCATAAACAAGAGATAATAACAAAAACTTTCTTATTAAAAAAAAAACTATTATTTATAGTTAAACTTGATGATATTGTCTAATCGTCTGGTTGACTAGTCCAGAGAAAGACTGTTTTCGGTTGTGGCCTGCATGGTGACTGACGTCTTGACAACCTGAGCGGAAGCTATCATCAGAGTCAAATGAAGAGAAGAGTTATTGCCGGTCTATTGGTATAAATTCCGGCTCGTGTAAGCTGATTGGTCAGTTTGTCGTGATTTCGTTGGCCACAAGACTCAAGTGGGGTAAGTCGGTAATGATCGGTCCGTTTCAATGCGTCGGTAATAGGTCGGTAATAGGTCAGTAATAGGTCGGTAATAGGTCGGTAATAGGTCGGTAATAGGTCGGTAATAGGTCGGTAATAGGTCGGTAAGAGGTCGGTAATAGGTCGGTAATAGGTCGGTAACAGGTCGTTCCACTCGATTCGTCTAAGGTGTAACTTGTTGGCATGGTGCCGGTAGTTGTTGACACCTGTTGAAGGGAGTCCGTTTGAAGTTAGTAAACCAGTTATCCAGAGTCAGTTCGTCGACAAAAGTTAATGCTGCAGGCAAGGCATTGCTTAGAGCCCCAGGCAACAGTGTGGTTGATAAGTTGATGAATTTAAACACTGGTACCGGTATTGTTGTAAAATCATTACAATTTCTCGTCGCTCGCTTATGTTAAGTCAATCTTGCTGGGAGGATTCCGCCTGGTGGTCCGAGCACCCGATCTTATAAACCATCCCCTGTCTATCCATTGGTTCGTCCTCGTCTTTGATGTTGGATAATAACAGACGTAGTGTAGCTAATAATGTACTTGTGGGCAACGCAGATATTAAAAGGTGTAAGATCTTTTCCAGGCTACCTTCCCTTTCTGTTCCTTGATTCGTTAATTTGTTAGTGACGCAGTAGAGTAAAGTGTTAACGAGCGATGGAGAAATTGAAGATTGTAAGTCCTTTTCGGGACTGCCCTCACGCGGACGACAAGACTACGCTAAAACAAATGTGGCCCTTGGGTTGAAGGTATTCACTGTAGATACTTAATCCTAAATTGTTTGTGCATGATATCGAATTTATGTCGCAAAATTAAATCCCAAGAATTTTCAATTTGGTCAGCTGACATCTATCTTTCTGCGACAAACCAATAAGTGTTTTTGTAAATGTATGGAATAAAAAAAAGAAAATATGAAATTAAAGGTAACTCGCTAAAGATTAGATAATCTTCTGCTAAATGATGTCTATTCCGTAGCGCGCAGTTGCAATTGTCTCTGGCTTAGTCGAAACTGATCCCAAGATTAAAGAAAACCATATGTTTAGATACGTTTTACTTGCGAGTTAAAAACTATGGTTGTGTCACTTTCGTTTTTGTTTGCTAATCAGATATCAGGGTTTTTCCCATTGTTCTAATCATAAGACGTAATCTCATTAATCACTATCGTTGGTGATGGCTTTATTTACCTCATGTCATAATAGATATTGATAAGGCAATAACAACGATCTTAGACTTCTTGTTCCTGTAAATATATTCCACTTCACCCCCTCCCTAAGCGTGCTACCTTTTGTCGTTCTAATTTTAGCGTGAACGGATCTAAATAAGATGAACAGAATCTCACAATATCTAATGGGCCTAAGTCTTAAACGATTACAGTTGCTTTTCATACACAAAGAGATCTTTTTCGATTGAGTGGAAACATTTTCTTTTAAACTCGGAATTTGAAATTAAAAGAAAACAGGCGGAAAAATAAAAGTTCGCTTGGCCTGCAAAATTCGATATTTTAATGCGGTTACGCTTCCTCATTATCATCGAAAACAAATTTACCGCACCTACTGTAGAGCCATAAAAGGGAACACAGCAACAATTGTTATTAAAATTATTTTGGTAAGAAAACGTTCTCGGCTGAGTGCAGAACATTAGTTTCGAAACTTTCTTGGGGAGTTGTTTTGATTCTATGAACAGCGCTCTTTTTTGAAGGTCAAGACAATATGTAAGGGTGGGAAAGTAAAAACACGAACTTCTGATCAAAGTATGTCTAACCGACTCGCGCGGGACTAAAAAAATCTTTGATATGAAGATGCATATTATTCTCCTTCTGGTGAGTGTTTTCAACTGCGTGACAGACTTATCAATGGCAGCCGATCTCGTGATTGACAGAAAAAGGCCTACTGGACGAAATGGATGGAAGAATGGACGAGACGTTTTCAAGATTCCTTCATCTTTATGGGGCGAGACCTATAATTGCACGAGCTTTGATGCCGAGGTGACAGATAATGCCTGCACTTGTTTATGCCCAAAAAAATCTGCGACTTTCGTTTTTCATAACGAGACGAATGGTTGTCAAGAAAACGTGAAAGTTCGTAATCTATTAGGTGAGTGAACTGTTTGGAAATTTGTAAAATTTCATCATGGAAAATCCCAAAAATATTTCTCTAATTCAAGGTAAAAGCTTAAATGAGATTCCGCAATGAAGTTACGCACGTCATGGCAAGCGTCAGCATAAGTTATGCGGAAAACAACCCAATTAAATGTTAACCGCAAAAGAACAATGGTAAAACTAATAGTGAGAAAACAGAATTTGAACGTCTGGATCTCTCAGTCTTCATGTCTCAGGGGAGCGTCATGGGGTTCGGAAGCCGTAACCATCTGATCACCTTGTCTTTAGTAACAAAACTTTTTAAGTTACTCTCTCCCCTTCGCTTCCAACCTAATCTCCCACCGATGCTAAAATGCACATACGATTCATCACTCGAAAAAAAGAAACAAAGCTCTTACGCTGACTCTCGTTTGTCTTAAACAAAAATCTTACTAGTTGAATGTTCATCCATCTGATGTTAAGGTTAAGATCCTCTTCGATGACATTTCATTCTGGTTTAAATTCTTCATTTGTCTTAAAACCGCAATATTGCGACAATCTAGTCCCCCAGGTTGCTTTAAAAATATCCGATTATCTTTCTTTGTATACTAAACTCATTCTAAACTCACGGTGTATTTGTTAGCACAAGGCGACCAAGGGACACCAGTCTATTTCAGTGGTGAGAGGGTCGATAGCGAAATGCGTATGTTGACCGTCGGTGATAACAGGAGGAGGGTAAAACTAGACGAAGACAACGGCAATTGTGCCGTGGATTCACAGTCCATCTATTTCGGATGTGGTGGCGCTGAACATATTTTGCCTTCAGGCCATCCATTCAAACTGAAAAAGAACGATGAAGATTACTTTCTTGAGGTAACAGAAAAATTCACTCATAGTGTAATTTCTTCCTAAAGATTTACAACTCATCCTGCACTCTTTCAGGCTTTACGAACCACAGAGACTAATTAGATGACCAAGCACTTCTATCATGACACTATAATTATATGACACAATTCTAAAATTATCAGAGCATTAGAGGTCAAACAGCATCAATCATTTATTCCTACTCACTCTTCAATATGCAAATAATGTGTCCTACAAATATAGAAGTATTACTTTCTCAGATTTCGCAGGATTGACACGGAAAAACCCTTTCCATACAGTATTGATTTTGAGAGAGCTTTCCGGTGTATAGCCGAAAAAAAAAAGATGGAATTAGAAAGAAAGGCCGATTAGAACAAACACCTGAAAAAGGCAACTCACTTTTTTCGTGGAAAAACAATAGCAACCGACATACGACTTGTTTCATTTTTGCATCTGATTGCTTGGGTGATGGAGCGAGTTTACTGAACCATTCAGGGAGCACAGACAAGCGAAAACAATGGACCCCGAAATCATGGAAGAAATTAAAATGTGAAATACACGAAGAACTTCGAAAGAAGACTTGGACACATGTCCACATCATACGCCTTTGGCCTATTTTTAATTTCGTTGATATTCGAGAAAGACTCACCTCAAGTAAATATTGATAATTATTGACCACACCATTATGTCGTGTTTAAGTGATTGACACCGCAACAATAAATTACGGACAGGTTAAAACTATTGATGTTATGGACCAGGTATTCATTTTGCGTCTCGGTGATTGAAACAACAAGCATAGGTTCCGTAAAGGGTAAAATATAGATATCATTGACGACATGTTTATGTTGTGTCTAGGTGATGGGCGAAACGAACTTTGATTCCTTAAAGGGTAGAATTATCAAGCTAAAGATAGAGTGCCATAAAAGAAGCAGAACAGAGAGCTTTGTTTTGGTGTTTAAATATGAAGGATCTCGCAATTGTAAGTTTGATATTCTGTTTCTCCCGTACTTTGTTAGACTTTTCGTCTCATTTTATTTCCCAATCATCGTGTAATAAAGATTATATTTGAATCTAGGAGTTTCTTCTATTCACCGAAAGTCATGCTTTTAATTGAAAAGAATTGTCGATTTTGTTCTAGGATTTCTTGTAAAATGATTAAGGTTTATCTCAATGGGTTGGCATTTACCTAAACTTAGTTTGCGTGGAGCAGCACACTTTATAGGCCATTTTTGGAAGAATTTCTGATTTAAGTAATTCATAACTACTTGTGAAAAGTGTGTCAGTGGTAAATACGTACCATGACGTCATATCGCCCCCAGCCTTAATAAAATCAAATTCCTCAATCCTTTTTCTTTTAAGGTACCATACTAAAACCAACATCACAGCCTCCAGCCACAACAAAGCCATTAGATACATCTTCTCTATCATCTCCATCACTTAGAACGAGTACAAGTGAACATGCGGCTTCGACAATCACCGAAACTTCACCATCGACTTCACATATTCCGCCGAAAGTTCCTTTTACCGTACCTGTAGTTACTGATCTGTCAAGAACATCATCCTTTACACTTCTGACAACCTCCGAAGTCACGAAGGTGTCAAAGGTCCGTCCGAACGTTTCCGAAGCTCCATCCACTACCTTAGCGAAGCGACTGACGACGACAGATTCTCCGTCTAAAGTAAGATTGCATTTGATGATAAAACACGATAGACAGTATGTTTTCTTTTGTATGTGCGAGGAAACTTCAGAGGAAAGAAGTTAAACATATTGTTCTTCTCGTCTACAGAGTCCTGTAGTCGCCCGTCCTGATCCTGGCCAAGAACGAAGAACGGATGGAAAGTCATCCCCCTTGGCCCTCATCGCAGGTGTCACCGTCGCCATTGCAATTCTGGTTATTCTTACCATTATTGCCTTCCTGACGTATCGACACCGACATTCAGTGTAAGTGAGTTTAACTCTTTGAAGAGGTTTACCATTGAATGAGCCTCAAGTTGATACCCTCAGGCCAGGTTTTTCAGGCTTACGCCTATATCAACCTCGTTTTCAGGGCAGCCTTTCCAAATTTTCCAGGAAAAGCCCTTGGAAAGGACTTATGTCGGAACGCATCGATCACTGGCCACTGATGTAGTTTTTTAATGATACCATTAATTCTTTTGACAGGGATAAGTCCAACTCTGGTATAGAAAGCGAAGAGAAAAAGGTAGCTATAAAGACTTTATTCTGATTTGGCCACTAAATGCTTTTCAATCCCTAATCTCAACATTTTTTATTGTCCTAGAAAACAGCAATGAGAAGTCTGACCAGAATTAGATCAGATGTGCGGGATAACGAGGATCATTACAAAACACTTACTCTTAGAGAACCAGGTGAGCAAAAATTACCTTTCATCATCAATTAAGTCTGTGTCGATCTTTAAACAGTACTAGTGTAGTAACGACCTCTGATTTCTGATAAAGCATATCAGGATTATACTTAAAACTGAAACAGATAGAGAGCCATTCATAAATGTTTCAGAAAAAGAAATTTGGATTAAAAAATCCCGCAGGAATATGACCAATCGAGTAGGAGATCCAAAGTAGAGATGCTTCTTTCTGCATACACCATAAACGAGATGAACAATTCTGACGAATAATATCTTAAATCTATTGTACTTTTAGTTGTTTATGCATCAGGCTATCAAGCGCCTGTCCGCGTTGGAGAAGCAAACTTAGGGAATTCAAGAGAAAGTGAAGTAGATTTCTACGCTCCTTTAAATATTCCTGATAGAAAAAATATCTATGGTCACATAAACAACCAGGAAACAGTTTTCAAAGATATGAGGCCTAAAATAAATGGCCCCATCAGTGTAAACCAACGTGTTTATGACCTTATGGAGGAAATAGCCATGGACCCTCCTGTGGGGCCCACTGAGGAAGGTGAAAATGGCGCTGAACCTGTCTACAACGCTTTGGTGGGGTCGTTTCTCGATGGGTCCCAAAGCCCTAAGTTAAATGGCCCCATCAGTGTGAACCAACGCGTTTACGATCTTATGGAGGAAATGGTCATGGTCCCTTTAAAAGGACCCGCTGAGTGTGGTGAAAGTGGCACCGAACCTGTGTACAACGTTTTGGAGGGGTCGGTTTTTGGAGAGGTCGATGGGCCACGAAGCCCAGCCTTCTTTGATATCACGTCAGACTCTACGGAAGGGCTAGTTTACCACTATGTTGAAAAAGGCAATCATCCCATGAGTAAGGTCCTAAAGGAAACATCTCTTAATGGCGCAGAAAAATCAAACCATCATGCTGCAACGGGTCTAATGGAGCCTGTTTACAACACTTTAGAAGCACACGTCAGTGACAATGATGGCGACCCTGTGTACAATGTTTTAGAGGTTACTGAAAATGAAGGAGGTCCTCGCCATCACATTGCTATATTCACAGAGGAAACAATCCATCCTAGCTTGTGAAAATCCAAACCAAATATTTCAGATAAAGTAAATGACTTTACGACTGACCCAGTTTATGATATTCTTGAGCAAGATCTAATCTGAAACGCTTTGTTTGGTGGAAGTAAACAACGCTCCAGGAAAAAAAATAAAGAACTTTTGCCTCTAATACGGGCCACGCATTTTTAAAAAGAACAGTTAGATTGTAAGAAGTAGTCCCGATATTAGAACAATGTTTGCGGTAGATAAGTATAGGCTAAATAGCACTTTGATCACTGTCATAGTATAGATTAATTCCGACGGTATTGTTAGTAGAGCAAAAGAAAGAGGAAATGGCTCTCGATTTCAATGTCGAACCCAACAGAAAAGTAATACAAGCTAAGGGGTGATATTTCAAGGTTTCTTTGCCCGATTTACATCTTCTAAATAACAGAAAAGGAGAAGGTACCTAATTGTGTTTATGTTGTATTGACGTGGAGAGGTCCAGAAACTTGACTTGGGGTTATGGTGTAATTAAAAAATATATGACTTAACTAACTCAATACTAGTTCCCTATGGATACGAAAACTTGGTTAAAATCTATCACTATAGCTTGAAAAGTTATACCACGTTAATCAAATGTAAGTTATGATGTAGAGCTTAATTTAGAGCTCTTTCCGTAAACTGTAATATGTGATTGATAAATCAATAATAAACCTAGTTCTATCGCGATTTGAAACGGCTCGATCTAGTCGCTTGGTTGCTACTCACTCAACAGCATACCTTTCCCCGCAAAACCTTCTTTCTTAAATTGAAAAAAAAATCTGTCAAGGATTTCCGAGGTATTTACCTAAAACGCTAGAGTAATAACTTCCTCAAAACATATACATATTAAAACAGACTTCCATGTCACTCCCTACAAAAACCTGCCTAGCAGGGGGAGGGTCTATCCGATTCCCAGGGTCCAACAAAAACGTCCGGAAGACAAACTACATCTAGGGATCTGACTGCCTGAAACTGAAAGAAATAAGTTTTCTTTTTTTTTTTAAGAAATTACAACATTATTTTTCTTTATAGAGTTAAAGTGTTTGTAATTGCAAATTGCCTTTTTTCTGTTAGTTATGCTGCTATATGCTGATGAAAGTTTTTACAGTGAATTGTAGAAACTGATAAAAAACATCGACATATCGTTACAATCTTAAACACTGGGAAAAAGTAGAAATGGGGCCATAGTAATTTGAAAAGAAGCGAACAGTCTGGAATAGAAACCAACTTTGCTTTAAATTAAGTCACAGCGTGCGTTTGGGCGACGTTTTGTAATTACTTCTTTAAAACTGGGAAAAAATGATAATGGGGGTGTAGAAGTTTGAAAAGGAGCTAACAGTCTGGAATAGAAACCAACTTTTTATGAAATCAAGTCATAGCGTGGTTTTGGCCGACGTTTCGTGATAGTTTTACTTTCGTATTTTTAACGCTTTAACTCCAAGAAATGATTAACATGTAACTTCTCCCTGTGATATCCATCAAGAGATAATAATCTGTTGTATACATACAATACCCACAGTACAGGTAATGAGATTATTCAAACTTATCAGGTTAAAGTTGTTATCGTGATCTTACACCAAATTCTCGCAACTAATTTATAAGGAAACGTGTAGCAGTTAGAGGTGACAAATAACAATCAGATCTTGAGAGTTATCGGGTTAAAGAAAACGAAACAACTGTATTCACTCTCGCACCTTGAAAGGAAGTGCATCAGCCAATAATGTTTGTAAAATGTCCGCTTGAGGAAACGTTTTCTGTTGGGTGAGGACCTTTATTTGCATAACTTTGTTGAAGCTTTTTGTTTTTAAAGTATCGAGCACGCTAACGTTCGGCGAACGAGATATCGATAACTGTTCTGCCTTGTAGCCTCATTCTTCGCAGCAAGTAGCAATACACTCTACTTCAAACGCCGGAAAGTTAGTTGGTTACGGGCGATACAGTGGCATCTAGATCTTGAGCTCAGTCCTTTCGAACTGAAAAATCCGAAAATATGAAAACTTGTGATATAGAGCTAGGCGTGGCTCTTTTAATTTGGGAGACTGTCTTCACAATGACAGCGGATCTCGAGATTACCAGGAAGAAAGGGAGAGATTCATTCAAAATTCGTTCATCGTTATGCAGTGAGAGGTTCAATTGCGAGAGATTCAACGCTGAAGGGACAAGTAATGGCGATGAGTGCACCTGCCTCTGCCCCAAAAATTATTCGACATTTGCTTTTCATAACAAGACTTGGGGTTGCCGGGAGAACGAGAAAGTTCGTACTTTACTAGGTGAGTAAGATGCCGCGAAATTTGTGAAATATCATACTGAAAAATTTCATTTTCATTTCAAGGTAAACACTGGAATAAACGTTTGCAAAGGCTTTCAGACTAGGTTTACACCAGAGGAGAGTTTTCCGAATTCGTAAATGTTTCCGGATTAATCAATTTTGGAGTATTAATAATAATAAAAGTCTTTATTAAGCACTCTAAACAACAAACGTGTTTAGTTACAATGATATGAACTCAGCAAGTATAAAAGTAATTAACTAACTAAATTACTAACTGACTGACTAATAAGAGATCTAGAAGAAACATCTATCAACAAAAGTCCTCTTGAAACGTTCGGTTCTGACAAGCGGGCGAATACAATTTTGGCGCCTCTTTCGTAGCGTAACTATTCGTCGCTCTGGTGGCAAAAGGTCACCTAAAGCTGTTGTAAAATCGCTGTCGGTGATCTTGGCCCACAACTTCTTATCTTTTAGAGTAATAATATTTTCAATCGAAAAAAGCTCTTAACAGTAACCAGGCTTAAAAGCTCTCATGAACAGCCTGTCTATGCGACTCAGATACTTATGATAATACGCGCAGCCCATATTTCTACAGCATATGTAAATATAGATAGAATAAGACTGATAAAAAGAAGATGAAGATGATCCGACGGCAGTCCATAGAATTTACAAACACGTAAGATGTACAGACGACTACTGGCTTTCGATGTAATATTATCAAAATGTAAATCTCAGTTACACTGATTAGATTGAAAAGTTACACCCAACAACTTCAGACATGGTTTACGATCTATAGAAACCAGAGGAGCAGGTAAAGCCTTAGTGGATTTGCCTCTAAGAGGCATCTTCCACGTTTTCTTGAAGTTTAGTTGTATACGGGTTCGTAGGCGTTTACACTGAGAGGATATTCGGATTCCTGACCGATTTAGCACAACGACAACTCCGGGAGCATTCGAAATGGAATGGTTACCAAGCCCAGTGTTGTTTCGTCGTTCGATCGACAAAGTGAAAATGCTTCCCCGAAAAAGGCTAGAGTAGATCCAGATGCCACTCAGGCAAATTTGAGCTGGACAGATGCAAAGCCATCTCCGTGGTCGGCGATTAAGTGTGGCTGACGTTAAACTTCCTTGCAATAATAATTTGGGTTTCCTCAGAAATACTGCGGTAAACATGATAAAATTTATCGCCTGCACCTGCAACAAGATTAGGCAACCCGAGACCGCCAGCAATCATGTAGCACCAGATCCTCCATTTTGGTTTCACCGCAAAGTCAAAAGATTGCAGGCGGAAATAATATCCGGATTCGAGAAAAAACTCCGTTACACGATAAAACTTTCCGAATTCAAAAGTTGTCGGATTCAAAGTTCCCACTTTAAATTCTGGATTCAAAATCTCCGGATACACGACCAAACCGCAGAGTTTTTATTTCGGATTCATCCACTTTCGTGTAAACGGCAAAATCAATCCGGTACTAAAACGTTTCGGATTCATCACGAATCCGGAACAATTTCCTCTAGTGTAAACCTAGTCTCGGTATGGCCTGCGTTATGCAGTTATGCATAAATTATGCAGAATAATTATTAAAACCTTACTAACAAAGAACGTGCCCTTAAGAGATCAAACTCGTTTTATGCAGTCTTCTTTAATTTTTCTAAGTTATTTACAGTTTGTTTCAAAATTAATAATCTAATATTCCTTTCACAAGAGATAAGAGATGCTCAGTGCCGTAAAATCAGCGATTTCGACTTCTTTACTCACTCTTAACAGATGTCAACAGGAGGCGACACAAATAGTCACATCCTTTTTCGAGGCGAGATGAAAGGAAGCAAACTGCGCCCGGTGAACATTAACGTCAGAAAAAAATTAAAACTGAATCTCACCATTTATAATTGTACCCAAGATGGACGAACGAGGTATTTCAAATGCGGTGGCGGCAAACATGTATCGCCTGAAATCAACCCTTTTAAATTGATAGCCAACCATAGCAGTTACTATATCAAGGTATGACTTAAATTTTCTTTGAGTTATCTCTTCACTAATGATAACCCTAGCTTGACTTTTTTTCGTACAAACAATATAAAATGATAATAGTCATCTTATCTACTGAACAAAATGTATCGTTCTTGATTGGTCGATGACTAATGCTTAAATAGATAAAAGAATGAGAGACGGGCTCCTAAAGAGAAGCACACGTATTTTAGCAACTAGGTTTCTCTGCTTGAACACCAAACCTTTGGCAGATGATTTCCTCGAAGATTTTAGAGGAATTGCTTTTCAGACCTCTCGTTACTGACTCTGCAATCCCCCTTCATTATTTTTTTTAGGTTTTGTTGAAAATCGTTCCACCAATCAAATCCGGGAAAACGACCAATTAAAACGAATTAAAGACTCAAAGGAAGCCAATAGGAATCCAAAGTAAAACAATAAAACTTCCTTTCTTTCGCTGGAAAACGAAAGAGACTCTATTTTGATTTTCGGTTTTCATCGTGCATCTAATTAATTAAGAGGGTAGCGTGAGACCAATCATAGAGCAGTGGAGTGAAGCTACGGCAATGCAATCCCAAAATATTTCCAACACATGATTGGAAAATTTCGCGAATGAAGTAGTAAATGTGAGAAGGTATCGACTTTGGATTCCATCTGCGTCATGATAAAGATGAGCAAACGTGTAAATAAAGAATTTACGCTCTTAAGATACTCTCACCGACTTAAAACATAACTAGAGCGTTACTTACAATTATTGAACTGACCTTGGTGTTTTGTTGCGTATAGGCAATTAACACGACTGGAAAAGATTCCTTGAAAGGGACAATAATCAAGCTCAAGATAATTTGTAATAACACTCGGAGAGGCTCGACTAGAAGGGGAGTGTTGTTGTTCAAATTTAAAGGATCCTTTAACTGTAAGTTTTTAAAAACGTCCATACAATATTCGGAGTTTGCGTTATCTTCTTTTTCCTTGACGTCTTTACCGTGAAAGTTTAACTAGAAATTGCTGAGGGTGTCTAGATCGGTGAAAACATGCAGTGATATAGAGTAATGTTAGGTATTTCTCCCCTCAGACTTAAATAACAGAATTAATTCAGTAACAAATCTCTTATCCTATGAAAACATTAATTTCGTCATGGTGACCATCTGCATCAACATGGCGATTGCCGTTTTAATGAATGAATTCAATTTCTTGACCAGATTTGGTGATGTTAATTTTTTTCTTTTTCCTTGAAAATGAATAAACGTCTCCGAAACAGTTAAGTCTATAGGTCTATCTTTGCGAGTCGGAAGCCGCACTTCCGACCACTCACCAACCGAGTTTCGTTTCTTTAACGGAAATACACAATCTTTTACAAAAGGAGCAAGGTTTATCTCAGTGTGTTAAAATTTGCCTTAGCTTAGTTTACGTGCAACAACCTTCCTCTCGCTCGACCTATCCCAGCTGTATTCTTATTGTAATTATAGTTTGTAGATATTCATTGTAAGAATATTTTTATAAGTGTAATATAGTTTTTACTATTGTTAGTCCTATTCATACATACCCTTATACTTCCTTTTCTTTGCGACATGTATTTTGTTACTTAACTTTGTTTTATAAATTTAGTTTGAGGGCCACTAGTTACTCAGTTGAAGCGCTGTCCCGTGTTACCCTCGTTAAATGAAGTTGATTGATTGATTGATTGATTCAGATATTTCATTACTACTTTATGTAATTGTTTTAAGAACCACTCAGGCTTTCTCTTGTGTCTCATAGGTGAATACATTAAGTCCTATTACCCCCGCCTTGAAAACATCCATGACTATCGTATTTTTCCCTTTTATCTTAAGGTACCATACCAACCCCAACATCACTGCCGACAACTTCCGAAGTGACAAAAGTGTCCAAGGCCCGGCCGAAGGTTTCCACTACCTTAGAAGAGCAATCGACGACAACAAACTCACCGTCTAAAGTAAGAATGCATTTGATCATAAAACACGATAGACGGCCTATAGGCTTTCTTTAGTATGCGCGAGGAAACTTCAGAGTATAAAGGTTGTAACATATTGTGCTTCTCGTCAACAGAGAACTGTAGTAGCCAGTTCTGATTCTAACCAAGAGCGAAGATCGGGTGGAAAATCGTCCCCCTTGGCTCTCATCGCAGGTGTTACCGTCGCCATTTTGGTTATTGTTATCCTTATCGCCCTCCTGATTTATCGACACCGACACTCATTGTAAGTAAGTTCACCTTTTTGAAGAGGTTTACCATTAAGCGAACCTCGAGTTGATACGCTCTGGCCAGGTTTTCCGGCTACCGTCCAAATCAACCTCATTTTCAAGGCACCATTTTCCCAATTTTCCAGGGATAACTTGGAACGGGACTTTCGTTGAGACATATCGATCATTGGCCACTGTTGCAATTCAATTAGTGATACTATTAATTCTTTTGGCAGGGAGAAGTCCAACTCTGGTAGAGAGAGCAAAGAGAAAAGGGTACGTATACAGACTTTGGCCTCTAGCTGCTTTTCAATTCCTAATTTCAACTTTTTTTGGTTGTCTCAGGAAACAGTTATAAGAAGTTTGGATGAAATTAGATCAGATGGGCCGGAAAACGAGGATCATTACAGAACGCTTACACTTGAAGATTCAGGTGAGTAAAGAAACCTTTTACTTTCATCGATTCTCTCTCAGTCTGTGAGCTCTCCNGGACTGTTGTCGGTGGTAGTGACTGACGTTTCGACAACCTGTGCGGAAGTCATCATCAGAGTCAAGTAGAAACCAACTTTTTATGAGATCAAGTCATAGCGTGGTTTTGGCCGACGTCTCGTGATAGTTGTACTTTGGTATTTTTAACGCTTTAACTCAAAAGAAATGATTAACATGTAACTTCTCCCTATGATATCCATCAAGAGATATTAATCTCTTGTATCCATACAATACCCACAGGAGTGGTAATGAGATTATTCAAACTTATCACGTTAAAGTTGTTATCGTGATCTTACAGCAAATTCTCGCAACTAATTTACAACGAAACGTGTAGCAGTTAGAGGTGAGAAATAACGATCAGATCTTGGGAGTTATCGGTTTAAAGAAAACGAAACAACTGTATTCACTCACGCACCTTGAAAGGAAGTGCATCAGCCAATAACGTTTGTAAAACTTCTGCTTGAGGAAACGTTTTCTGCTGAGTGAGTACCTTTATTTGCATAACTTTGTTGAAGCTTTTTGTTTTAAAAGTATCGAGCACGCTATTGTTTGGCGAACGAGATATCGATAACTCTTCTGCCTTGTAGCCTCATTCTTCGCAGCAAGTAGCAMTACACTCTATTTCAAACGACGGAAAGTTAGTTGGTTCCGGGCGATACAGTGGCATCAAGATCTTGAGCTCAGTCTTTTCGAACTCAAAAATCTCAAAATATGAAAACTTGTGATATAGAGCTACCCGTGGCTCTTTTAATTTGGGAGATTGTTTTCACAATGACAGCGGATCTCGAGATTACCAGGAGAAAAGGGAGAGATTCATTCAAAATTCGTTCATCGTTATGCAGTGAGAGGTTCAACTACAAGAGATTCAACGCTGGAGGCAAAAGTAATGGCACCTGTTTCTACCCCCAAAACTAT